ATTGGGGTTCACTCTTGGTGTTGTAAAGTCCTTTGAGGACTAAGGTTCACTGGACCTAAGCCATGATATTTTCCATCATCTCATATGCATGTGAAAGCAAGACAATGAGTATGGCAGACCATAGGCGCATTTGAACTATGGTGTTGGAGAAGAATATCGAAAGTACCAGAAGAACAAACCAATCTGTCTTGAAAGAAGTCCAGCCAGAATGCTCCTTCGGAGCAAGGATGGCAAGACTTTGTCTCTTGTGCTTTGAGCATGTTGTCAGGAGGGACCAGTCCCTGGAGAAGGACATCATGCTTGGTTAAGTGGAGGGCCAGTGAAAACAAGGAAGACCCCCAACAAGATGGATTGGTACAGTGGCAGCAATAATGATTCAAATATAACAATAATTGTGAGGATGATGCAGGGCCAAGAGGTATTTTGTTGTGTTGTGTGTGGGGTCACTATGAGTTGGAACTGACTTCATGGCACCTAACAACAACAATAACATGTTGTTGTCATTGGTAGGTGCTGAGACCTATGGGCTTTGGAAAATGTTAATGTCATGTATCCACCATGACAGACTCATTTAGAAGCGTTTCGCTAAAAAGGTCCTGAGCGCTACCTATTCATCATGCCCCCTTCCTCAGACCCTGACTGTCACTCATCTTTTCATGGTCTCTGTGGATGTAACGTCTCTGAGTCCTGGCGTGGTGCTGTGGGTTAATGCACTGGACTGCGAAGTTGATTTGAACTGCAAGGTTGGAGCTTCAAGCTTACCAGCTGCTCCTCAGAAACCCCATACAGGGTCACTATGGGTTGGAACTGACCCGATGGCACTTAACAACAACAATAGTTTTGCTTTTCCAGGATGTCTTAATTGGAACCATATGTAACCTTTTTAGCCTGACTCCTTTAACTTAAAAACTCTGGTGTGGTGCTGTAGGATAAGCACCACAATGGACTGCTAACCACAACGTCAGCAGTTCAAATCCACCAGCTGCTCTTTGGAAACCCTGTGGAGGGTTGCTAGGAGTCGGAATCCACTTGAGGACAATTAATAACAATAACAACCACCCTTCACTTATGCATTTAAGCTTTCTTTATACGATTTGTGTCTGAGAGGCCCAGTGTTGAAGTGCTCAGCTGCTAAAGGAAATGTTGGCAGTGGAATCCACTCGTCGAAAGAAAGATCCGGTGATCTGTTTCTGTTACAGCCTAGGAAACCCCATGGAACAGCGCTGCTCTGTCCTCAAGGGTCAGTGTGAGTTGGAAAGGACTTGATGGCAATGGATGGTTTTTGTTAATGAATTGATACTGTTGTTGTTAAGCGCTACTGTTAAGTGGGTTCCAACTCATAGCGACCCTGTATAGGGTTTCTGGGGAGCAGCTGTGAAGTCTTTATGAGAGCAGATCCCCACGTCTTTCTCTCATGGAGTCACTGGGTGGGCTTGAACAGCCAACCTTTCAGTGAGCAGTGGAGCCATTGCATCACGAGGGCTATTATAGGCTAAATTGTGTTTTCCCCCCGCGTTGAATTCCTGGCCCCTGTACCTGTAGAAAGGGGCTTGTGATGCTTGGGGCTAAGCATTAGGCTACTAACCACAAGGCTAGCAGTTCAAACCCACCAGCTCCTCCTCAGGAGAAAGATGACACTCTGGGAAACCCAAAGGAGCAGTTAGTTCCTAAGGATTGGGCTAGCCTTCGGGGCAGTGGGTTGTTGGTACCTGTCGATGGATGTCATCCCATTTGGTGTTTGTGAGGTTACAACAGAGATGGGTAGTACAAAGCACTTCTGAGTTATAAGACCAGAACACACACACACACACACACACACACACACACACACACACACACACACAGAGGGAAGGACTGGAGCCAAAGAAAACCAAGGATCACCAGCAGACACCAGACTCTAGAAAAGAGGCAGAGACCTTGATTGGGACTTCTAATTTCTAGAACAGTTTGAAAATACATTTGTTACTTAAGTTCAACCACATGTGGTATTTTTGCAGCACTAGATAAGGTTGTTAGTGACCCTAATAAGCACAACAGAACAAAACACTGCTTGGTCCTGTGTTATCCTCACAATTATTGTTTGAACCCATTGTTGCTGATACTGTGGGAGTACATCTTGTTGGAGGTCTTCCTCTTTATTGCTGACCCTCCACTTTACCTAGCATGATGCCCTTCTCCAGGGAATGGTCTCTCCTGACACTATGTCCAAAGTCTGGGAGATGAAGTCTGGCCATCCTTGCTTCCAAGGAGCATCTGGCTGCATGTCAAGACAGATTTGTTCCTTCTTCTGGCAGTCCATGGTTCTTTCAAATATTCTTCTCCAACACCATAATTCAAATGCAATGATTCTTCTCTGGTCTTCCTTATGCATTGTCCAGTTTTTGCATGTATATGAGGCGCTTGAAAATACTATGACTTGGGTCAGGCACACCTTAGTCCTCAGAGGGACATCTTTGCTCTCTAAGACATTTGTAGTAGATTTGCCTAATGCAATACATTGCTTGATTTCTTGACTGCAGCTTCCATGAGTGTTGATTGTGGATCCAAGTAAAATTAAACCTTTGGCAACTAAGATACCATATAAGGGGCAAGGGATTATTGGATATTTCTACTTCTCATGTTTTAGATCTCATAATAAAATTACAGGAAATCTGGTGTCTTGTTCCCATAAGGTTCTTTCATGGTGTTTCTAATCATTTTGAATAAGTATGTTACGTGTTAAAGTTTAGTTCAAGAACATAGTTCCCTGAACCTTGCAGTCAATTCTTTGAGCTTTAAGAACCTGGAATGCACCAAGCCTTGCAGAGGGCTTTCCCCACTCACTAGCTTCAAAGTAGACCCCTTTGCAAGTCCCTTAATATTAAAGTTCTTTCTGTTCACACTAGAAAGAGTTCGAAATGACAGTTAGTAGTGGAACAGAGCTTTATTTGCTATTGATCAAAAGCAAAGCTGGAGATAGTGGGAGATTGGAATCTCACCAGGACAACCTGTCTGCTTGCTAAAGTCAGAGTGGTTGTATATTTTAATTTATGGGCTAGGTTTCTTAAAGGGAGGAGATGCAAAGAACTAAGGAGCTCCGGTGGTGTAGTGGTTATGAGTGCTGCTGCTAGCCTCCAGATCAGCAGTTAGAAACTGCCGTTCCACAGGAGAAAGATGAAGCTTTCTGCTTCCATACAGATCTATAGCCTCAGAAATCTTATGCAGGATTACTATGAGTCAGAGCCTGAACCAACTCCAGGGTGGGTACACCACCACCACCATGCAAAAACTGGGGGTGGGCGGAGTTTAAGGCGGAGCTTGGGTGACATGTAGGCAGGGAGTAGAATACTCAGCTTATCTTCAAGATGGAACCAGCAGCAAGGGTGTCTGGGAATTCTTGGCATTATTATGGGATGGTACACTATATCTTCATCCTTGGAGATGCAGGCTATGTCTGGTTTTCTGTAAAATAGGTCTTGGCACCAGATGACCCATTGTCTTTGTTCAGCACAGGGTGAGGCGAATACTACAGTTATCTTTTCAGGGTCATTAACGTGAACACTAGGCATTGTGAGCCAACAAGAAATATTTAGGGTTCTTTTCTTAAAGCCTCCAGCATCCTTAGTGAATCAACCCCATAGGACACAGTAGAACTGCGCCATAGGGTTTCGGAGGCTATAAATCTTTATGAGTCTGACTCATTTACTCTTGTGGAGCGTCTGGCGGGTTTGAACTGCCAACTTTGTTAGCAGTGTTGGGATTAACCACAAAGCCACTAGGGCTCCTCGCAGGAGCTTTTTGTGACAACTTCAGGCCTGGACCTCTGCTGTTTTGTCAAACTTCCTTGAGTGTCCTTCCTGAGGGGAGATATTGTTGTGTTGTTGTTGTGTGCCGTGGAGTCGGTTCCGACTCATAGCAACCGTACACAGGGTTTCCGAGGCTGTAAATCTTTACGGGAGCAGACTGCCTTATCCTTCTTGCGCGGAACCGCAGGTAGTTTCGAACTGCTGACTTTGGGGCTCACAGCCCGATTCGTAACCACTACGCTACCAGAACTCCTTGAGGGGAGATATAGGGTCCACCCAATTAATCATCTGGATTCCACCCCTAAAACACCCACCATTGAGTTTTAAGCTTTGTTAGTGCTTAATGCAGATTTTGAGAAGGAGTGAAGGATTCTATCAGTTGACATTCTGTGCTCCTACAAGTGTGGTGTGGCACTGTGGTTTGATAAAGCACAAGGTCAGCGGTTCAAACTCAGCAGCCGCTCTGCTCTTGGAAACACTATACAGGGTCGCTATGAGTCGGAACTGACTTGAAGGCTTAATAAGAACACCAACAAGTAACTCCAAGCTTTCATTGGCTGGAAGGAGTCAAACCAGCTCAGTGCTGGGGCCTACTTATTGGAACCAGGAATATGGGGCTGGTGGTGGAAACGACTTGAGGAGAGGAGGCCATAAATGAGGCTGGCGTCGCTTTCCCTGGAAGAGGCAACCCACACAGACATAATGTGAACAGGCTTCCAGAGCAACACCTCCACCGCTTCCACCAGCCAGGGTGAGGCCCCTTTAAGACTCCCGGAAGCGGGGCACCGGGATCGGAAGTGACGTTCTTTATTTCCCCTCCTCACGTGGTGCGGGAAGGAAGTGACGCGTGCGGCCCGGGAGCTGCGGACTCGGAGGCCGTGAGAAGCCGGAGTTGCGGGTGCCGCGGGGTCTCCGGCACAGGTGACCGGGGGAGGGAGCCAGGAGCGCGGCCAGGGAGGGCGGTGCCTGGCATCCCACGTGAGGGGAGCAGGAGCTTGCACAGGGAGGGTCGTGAGCCTCCTGCGGGGGCGGGGTCAGAGTACTCTGCGGGGGGCGGGGACAGGACGCCCACATGGGAAGCTAGAGGGGCGCTGGTGGGGCGAGAAGTAATTGGGCGCGCCGGTCTGTGGGCGGTGCCGGAGCATGGTGGGCAGCAAGGGCGGAGTCAGAAAGTTGTGCCTGGACTCAAGGCGGGGCTAGGGTGTCTACCGGAACATGGGGCGGGGCCAACATGTTTTCAGGCGTGATAGGGGCGGGGCTGGGGCGCTAACCGAAAGCTCCGGGCACGGGGCCTTAAAGTTTGCCAGAGTTGGAAGTGAGTGTAGAACCCTGTCCTGCACGCCAGAAGCTAACCTGAAGGTGAGAGCGCGGCCAAGATGATGTAGTGAGCTAGGGCATCGGGCCACGGTGCTGGCGGGAGTGCTAGGGGCGGGATCAGAAAGTTCCGCCAGAACCTGGGGCGAGGCCAGAGCATTAGCTGGGAAGCCGGCTCTAAGCCTAGAAATGGGAGGCGGGGTAGGGCCAGGGGCAGAGCCAGAAGATGAGCTGGGGAAGTCGGAGGCGGGGTCAGGATTATTGGTCAAGAATGGGGGTGGGTTTGGGAGCCTGGGGATGGGACCCGAAGGTTGTGTGGTATAATCAAGGTGGGCCAGATGATTGAAGTGAGGTTAGAGTCTAGGCCAGAGAGTGGAGTGAGGTGAGATATCCTGGGGTGAAGCCATGATGTATGCTCCTTAGGGTCTGGACTGGAAAGTTTTTTCTGGAAAACCGGAGCGGACTCCGAAAGATTTGTCCGCTCAGTGGTGGATAGAATGATCACTGCAGAGCTGAGCCAGACCCAGGCAGCCTCACCGATGGATCAGGGGCTCATTTCAGAATCTTTACGGGGTGCATCTTTCTCCAAATGCTGGGGATAGTGTTAGACTACGCCTGAGGGAGTTCTGTGGGCTAATGCACTAGACTGCAAAGTTGGTTGAACTGCAGAGCGGCACTTCAAGCTCACCAGCCGCTCCATCGGAAACCCTATGCAGGGTTGCGATGGGTCCGAACCGACTCTACGACTCTACAGCACTTAACGACAACAACAACCTGGTGTTAATGATTGACTGGTAGAATTCTAGCCTTCCAATGCTGCTTGCCATGATGCTGAGCAGGGTTCAGTAGAGGTTTCAGATTCTGATGGGCAAGGACCGGAAGACTTGGTTATTTATTCACAGAAATTAGCCAGTGAAAACCCTGTGGGTCTGCAGCAGGTCATGGGGATGGTCTAGGATGGGCAGTGTTTGTTCTGTTGTGTAAGGGGGTCGCAGTGTGCTGGGATCCGCCTCGGTGGTTACTAACAAGAAACCCAGCCTCACAACAGTCTTGCTTCAATCCTTCCAGGGAAAGGAATAAGGGCTTGCAGTTAAAGAAGAGTTGGGGGGGATGTAGACCTTGGTCCTTCTTGTTCCCTTTGCCCTCAGGAACCCCCCAGTGCTGCGTCCAGATTCCGCAGGGAGCTTTTCCGGGTCTGTGGCCCCAGCTGGCCAGGAAAATGGTGAGATGGAAAACAGGCTCCCCAGAATCTCAGCTTTGGCAAAGGGGGCTTGGAAGGTGGGGGTCTGGGTGCCTAACTCCCAGAACTGGAGTGTACAGTTGTGCTTGACCAACCCTCCACCCTCTCTCTTCTTAGGCGGCCACCCTGGATCTGAAATCAAAGGAGGAGAAGGATGCTGAATTGGACAAGAGGATCGAAGCCCTTAGGCTGAAGAATGAGGCCCTTATGCGGCGCTACCAGGTGCCCTAGCCCCACCCTGGGAGACCCCACCCCCTCTCCTCCCAGCTGTGAGTTTTCCCAGACTTTGACTTTGACCCTACCGCTCCTTCCCTTAAGACCTTTCCATGGCTCTTCATTGCTCTCAGGAGCAACACCAGATGCCCGAGCCTACCATTCCTCCCTTCTTTCGCTCCATCATTGTTCATTTACATTTGATCACTGAGGCTTTTACTGTCATAAGCTGAGTGGTGCTGGGGACCCAGCGGTGGCTGAAAAAGCCCGGCTTTGCCCTTTAGGGTTCACAGCCCAGTGGGGACGTGGTCTTGTGCTCAGTCAGTGACATGTCAGAGTGGACAGGGCTGGGACAGGGACCTGACCCAGGCTGGAACATTAAGGAGGGCTTTCTGGAGAAGGGGCCATTTCAGGCCTTCAGGTTAAAGAGAAGAGAGGGACCATGTTGCAGGCAGACATGTAGAAGTCTGGGAGAAGAGGGGGAATTTAGAGACTTAGTTACTCCTTGGTGGCACAAGTGGCTATGAGTTGGAACTGACTCCACGGCACATAAGTACCACCACCACCACCACCACTGACCTGGAGGTTGGTGGTTTGAACTCAACCTAGTGGTACTGCGGAAGAAAGGTCTGTTAATCTGTAACGATTACACTGTAGCACATGGGACCTCCAGGAGACAGCTCAGTGGCAACGGGGTTGGGCTTTGTGGTTTAGTGAGTAGCAGAGCCCGAGAGGGTCACAGGGGCCCAACTGTGCAGGGCCTTGAACACACCAGAACTAGTGTGTGGGTTTTCCCCTGAGGACTGGAGAGCCATGGAGGGCTTTGAGCAGGGCAGGGCTGGGTCACAGTAGGATTGCAGGAAGAAGCCCTTTAGTTGCTATGGTGGTGATGGATACTGGAGACCAGAGACTAAAAAGAAAGCTGGGCCAGGGACTCCAAAGTCAGGGAGCCAGGAGGTGTTTGACCCAGGACAGGACTGAGGGGAGGGAGAGTAGGCAGGTGGACTTGTCAGTTACTTAGAGGGCAGAACGAATAGGGCTTGGTGCGTGATGGACAGTGGAGGGAGCGGGAGAGAGGCCCAGGTCTTGGTCCTAGGTCCTGGGCTAGAGGACAGACGTCAACTTGAGATGGGAACCTGGGCGGAGGAATGGGTTACATGTGCTCATCCCTCATGCGTTCATTCATTTAAAACAAAACAAAATGAAAACAAAGCATGCTGCGTTTCTGTTGTGTGCCAGGCACTGTTGTAGGCACTGGGGATAACATCAGCGAGCAAAGCCACAGACACCCTGCTGTGTTGCAGTGGGGGAGGCAGGAAGCAAGCAAAATACATGTAACAGCAGGTAGTGACAGTCTGCCTCCATGACAAATAGAGCAGGGCACAGGGAGCAAGAATGGCAGGGAGTGTCAGGGACCACCTCAGCAGGGCCAGGTGAGCAGAGACCTGGAGGGAGGGGTGAGGGAGTGATGGAGAGCTGGGAGGGAGTGCCTTCTGGCCAGAGGGACTAGCCATTGTGGAGGCCCTGAGGTAGGACCCAACCTGGTGTGTTCCAGGAGGCCAGAGGATACCAGGGAGATGGGGAGGGGAGTTCTCAGGCCCCCCTTAGGTCATGGACAGCAATGGTTTGGCTGGGCCTCAAAAGTGGGTCGCACAGGACAGTCCTGAGGAGGGGGGGACCGTGGTGAGATTTGTGGGAAGATGCCAATATGACCAGGAGAGAGGCCTGGGCTGGGGCCAGATGTGGGGACAGTGCAGGAGGTTTGGGGACCCAGCTGGTGGCAGGACCTGGACCCTGACACCTCCTCCATCCCGCCAGGAGATCGAGGAGGACCGTAAGAAAGCGGAACTTGAGGGTGTGGCTGTGACAGCGCCCCGGAAGGGCCGCTTGGTGGAGAAGGAGAATGTGGCGGTGGAGGTGGTGAGCTTGACATCAGGGTGGGAGGCTCTTGAGAATGGGGAGACGGTAAGGGGCTGAGGGTTGGAACCCAGGAGCCTTCCCCAGCAGGCCACTACTGTGTTGGCTCCGTTCTAGGTCTGGGTGTCCCTGTCCTTCACCCTGGTGATTGTCCTTTCCTTTCCCCACTTCCAGGAGAAGACCCTGGGTCCCTTCAGGAGGTCTCATGGGACTCCTCGGCCTCAAGGGCCCAGCAAAGGGAGCCGGACACCCCCACACAGAGGAGGCCGGGCTGGCGCCGGCCGGGCAACCCACAGCTGGGAGGAGAGTCCTGGGGAGCAGTCTCGTGGAGGAGCTGGGAGCCACAGCCGTAGGGGCCGGGGCAAGGGGGCCCCTCATCTTTCTCGGGCTGGAGATACCCCCACTGCCACTGCTGACCGCAAATCCAAGGTGGGCGCTGCTCTGGGAGCCAAAGGGCTCTGTGGTCTGGTTTTCCTGTATCCTGGTTCCGTGCTACTGTTGCCTTGTTTTCAACCCGCGTGCTCTGCTCCTCTCTTGTGTGTGTGTGTGTGTCTGTCTGTCTGTCTGCCTCTCCCCCTCCCCCACCTCACCCCCCCCCATCTCTGCTGCCATAGAGTCGATTCTGACCCTCTAGTGACCCTCTGGGGCGGAGTAGAACTACTGCTGTACAGGTTTCTAGGCTATAATTCTTATGGACATAGGCTATCACATCTGTCTCCCACTGAGTGGTGGGTGGGTTTGAACCATGGACTTTGCAATTAGCAGCCAAGTACTTAACCCATTGTACCACCAGGACTCCTCCAGCTGTGAAAGAGGCTGGAAGATGAAAACGTCACTTCTGGCTGGTTGGCCACGTGCTCATTAACATACCTATTTCCCTGGACAGAGGAGGAGAGTGGCTTGGGACCATCTGCCGATTGATTGATTGCCGCAGTTACTGTGGTAGCTGTGATGGGGGCTGGGCTCCCCAAGTCTCCTCCCACATTCTGCTAGAAAGACTCCCAGGAGTCACCTGTACCACTGAGCAGACGACAGTGGAAGGACCCATAGCAGACTCAGGAAAGGGATAAGGTGCGAGGCGCGGAGTCCTGGGGACAGCAGGCCCAAGCTTCCAGAGTACATTGCCTGGGAGGCACCTGGGACATGATTCGAGTTCCCACAGGAGAGCTCAGTAGAGACTTGGTGCCTCCCAGGGTTACTACCCGGGATGGTCATGTTGCCACCCTGTCTGGCACTGATCCAAATTGCAGACTTCCAGGAGAAAAGGAGGGGTTTCAGCACCACGTGTGGTATTAGTACATACCGTCCATCACAGTAAGCTTTGCTTATCCCTTAAAGGGCAGGCCTTTCCAAAGAAAGCAAAGGGGCACGTTGGCTGTGATAGCGGTTTTTGTTGGTTTTTTTAATTGTGGTAAGTGCATAGGTAAGAAAACATTTCCCGCTGTCCCAGTCTCTACATGTATTGCTCCACCCCTGGATTCCGACTCACACGGACTTCATAGGACAGAGTGGAACTGTGCCTTAGGGTTTCTGAGCACATAAATCTTTACGAAAGTAGACAGCTTCGTTTTTCGCTCCTGGAGTGGCTGGCTGGTGGGTTAGAACTGCCAACCCTAGGGTTAGCCATTCCACACTTAACTCACTGCACCGCCAGGGCTGCTATGTATAGTTCATGACATTAAACATATGTGTCATGCTGTTCACCGGTCCCCAGGAGCTATTCCTGAATTTTCCCCTCACACTGAACCAAAGCTTCCAGTAACCCACATACTGCCGATTCTAACTCACATGACCTCAGGTGATGGAGTTGAACTGCCCATTGGGTTTCTGAGGCTGCCGTCTCTATGGAAACAGTCCGCCTCATAGTCTTCCCTTGGAGTGATTGGTGGGTTCAAACTGCCACCAGGACTGTCTTCTGTTGTTGTATCTTCGCTTCCCCCCCGCATGCTGTGGTATATAAGAAGGCTTCAAAAGATGTATGGAAAAATGGAATTAAAAGTATGGTGTGTACCCCTGCGCTTTTTGGAGCCCTCTCATTAACTATGTATAACAAACTATTTAGCAGCTCATTTTTCTTGGTACGTACGACGTAGTGATGTTACGGTCATCGTATTGTGTGACTGATGGTTCTTCATTTCCGGAAGTCTCTATCACCCTTAGCCGAAACCCAGTGCGCTCACACCACTTTCTCCCTTGCTTCCCCTCTTGCCCCTGGTATGCGGCTGTCAGTGTCCCCAAGTCAGTTCTGGCTCATAGTGACCCTGTATAGAGTTTTTGAGGAGCAGCTGGTGAGTCTGAACTGCTGACCTTGCTGATGCCAGTCCAGTGTTCATCCTCCAGCGCCACACCAGGACTCTGTTGTCCCTGGTGTGACCACTAATGAACTTTGGTTTCTAGCCATCTGTCTGCCTGTTCTCAGTTATGGGTGGAATGACGTGTCCGTCTCTGACTTGATTCCACTCAGGGTCACATTTTCAAGACTTGTCCGTGTGGCACTGTATGTCAGGACTTCATTCCTGTTTTTTTTTTTTTAATGTTTTATGTGAATTATGTCATAGTTTACATGGGAGAACATTAGTTTTACATTCATTCTATCGTATGTTGTTTCATTGCCATGGTTACAATCCCCTCCATGCATCATTAACCAACCAAAGGGTATACACTACAAGCCTGCTCCCCGGTCGTCAGCACACAGCCCCTCTCCCTCTCTGGGTCTAAAGTCCCCAACTGGACTTCATTCCTCTTGGTGGCTGAGTGAGGAGATGTTGTCCGTGGCCACATGGGTGGTTTCTACTTTTTGGTTGTTTTTTAGTGCTGCTGTGAACATTGGTGGACAAGTCTCTGAGTCTTTGCTTTAAAAGCTAATGGGTCTGTACCCAGAATGGCATTGCTGGGGCCTCTGGTAGTTTGTGGTGACCTTTTATGAAGGGACATGCTTACTCTTTCTTGCCCAGCGTAATGACACTGGCAAAGCAGGGCTGACTGCTATGGGGTCTCTTCTGTCTCCCACAGGAATGGGAGGAGCGGCGCCGGCAGAATATCGAGAAGATGAACGAGGAGATGGAGAAGATAGCAGAATACGAGCGCAACCAGAGGGTCAGTACCGGAACCTCCCACAAGGTGGGGGTGTGCGGGCTGCTGGGGAGTCAGCTCACGTCTGTCCCCCCACCGCCCATGTCAGCAGGAGGGGGTGCTGGAGCCCAATCCTGTGCGGAACTTTCTGGATGACCCCAGGCGCCGTGGTGGACCCCTAGAGGAGCCTGAGCGGGACCGCCGGGAGGGCAGCCGCCGGCACGGGCGCAACTGGGGGGGCCCTGACTTTGAGCGGGTGCGACTGGAGCCTGAGCGGCAGGTGGGTTCTGGCAGCTGGGCAGCCATGGGCATGTAGGGTTGTTGGTGAAGCGGCACGTGTTTACTGAGTGCTGAATGTGTGCCGGGCCCTGCAGCAAGCTTTTTCTTGTTTAAAAGGAGCCCTGGTGGCTCAGTGCTTAAGCAGTTCAGTGGCCAACCACAAGGTCTCGGTTCTTAAACTAACTGTTTCAGGGGAGAGAGACAGATGAGAGGCTGTCAGCTTCCATTTAGATTTAATTCTCAGAAGTCCTAGGGAGCAGTTCTCTGCTCCACACGGACGCTGTGATTCAGAGTCAGCTGGGTGGTACGTGGATGGTGATGTTAGGTACTGTCAAGTTGACCCCCAACTCATGGTGACCACACCTGTTACAGAGGAGAACTGCTCCCTGGGATGGAAGATTGCCACGCCATTTCTTTGGCTGTCCCCCTGGGTTTGCTGAGTCTTTAGGATGGCAGTTGAGTGCAAACTGATTGTGCTTCCCGGAGTCTGTGCTAGTTTTGCAGCATTGTAATGAGTGAGGGTTTGTCATATGCTTTGTTGCCCATGTGGAGTCCTTGGTGTCTGTTAACCAAGAGATGGGCAGTTCGAGTCCCCCCAGAGGGACCTCTGAAGAAAGGCTTTGGTGGTCCATTTCCAAAAAAAATCAGCTATTGGAAACCCAATGGGGCGCAGTTCTACACTGACACACATGGGGTTGTCCTGAGTCAGAGATGACTCTATGGGAACTGGGACAAGTCTCTGCTTTACAAGGCACTCACCACACACAGGCCATGAGGGTTGGTGATATACAGCTGAGAGACACGCCCCGGGACTGTTGTTCACCCCAAAAGAATTGTCAGTCGGTGTGCCAGTCCCTTCTGCTTTGATTGGTACAGCTTTGTGGCATGTTTGTGGGTTTCCTCTCATTGCTAACATTTAGCACTATTTGGGCACAGCTCCAAGTTTTGGAGATAAGAGTGGGTTAGCAAAGCAATTCTCTGTCATTCTCAAATATATTCTGCTGGGAGGAGACCAGGAAATAAATGAGTACAGCCAGTCTTTGACTTGCTGTGGATTTGAGTTAGGCTGACCTGCACTTAAACTACCATCCAGTTTTAAAGTTTTGGGGTATCGCGTTGTTAGTAATACATACTTGTACTCCATGTAGTGATGCGGCATGCAGTTTGCCGATGTCACCATTGTCCGACGTCTCTTGCAGATGTTCGCTTTATGGTTTAGTTCAAAGCACTGCTGTATGGAGCCGCCCGTGGCCTGGTCTCAGTGAAGTTGGTGTCAGGAGTCGCAGTGGATAGAAAGTTGGGTGTTGGTCAGCTCTAATGATGCCCGACAAGTGAACCCTAACTTCATTGTTAGGATGCAATAATAATGAAAATGGGAGAAATAGGAAGCAATCGACTTAGGTCAGAGCTGACTTACAACTTGGAACGGAACCCTGTTTAAAGTCGCGACTGACCTGGCCATAAGGTGTCAGGTAATGCAGATGTGCAGAAGCAAATCAGGCAGCGTCAGAGGTTCAACCAAGGAGCGATCTGGCATGGCTTCCTGGAGGAGATGCCTGGTTTCTAATTAATCTCTGCCCAGTTGCTGCCATTGTCTACCTGTGTGGCCTTTGGCAGCAGCGGCAGGAGCAGGGCATGGGTGGACTTCTGGAACAGGGTCCTGACTAACTGTTGGCCTGGGGCAGGGCCGCCGGGCTGGCCTGGGAGGTGCCGGTGATATGACGCTGTCCATGACTGGCCGGGAACGCCTGGAGTACCTGCGCTGGAAGCAGGAGCGGGAGAAGATCGATCAGGAGCGGTTGCAGAGGCACCGGAAGCCCACCGGCCAGTGGCGGCGGGAGTGGGATGCTGAGAAGACCGAGGGGATGTGAGTCTCTCCTCCCTGCTCGCCCCCGTTGTGTGGAAATTGTTGACTTGCCCTGACTTACCAGTTCATTTGCCTGCATGCCTCTCGGCCTTCTCACCCTGTGTGTCGCTCAGTGATTGCTCCAGTCATGCTGTGCGACCACCACCACATTCTACAGCAGCACTGGGTTCTCGTGGGCTCCTGGGGCAGCTGGGTTCAGCTGCAGGTTGAACTCTGTTCTATGGATGTCCGTCCCGGGGCACAGGTCCAGGGAGCAGCAGCTTCCTGGGGACAGGGCCTTGACATTGACAGGCACAAGATGGGAATGGATAAACATCCACAGACACAACAGTACTGGGTGGGGAGGTCATCTTTGCTTACTCTGGTAGCTGCTGCTACTGCAGAGCCCTTGGCAAAGGACATGGCTGTAACTTCTAACATGGGATCAGATCTCTGCATCCTCCTTCCATTCTTACCTGTCCCATAGCCATCCAACTCAGTGCACTTCGCTCTGCCAAGTGCCCTCACATCCCCTGTGGTGGTTGTTATTCTCTGTAAGTCTGAGTCTGTTCCCTTTTGGGCCCTAGGGAACATCCAGGCAAACTTAAAGGCGTCATGGTGTCCCTATCTCCAGCTTTTGGAGAAGGTTCCAAAAAATTCCTATAGTTTTCATTCTGCCCCTGATAACATTAGAAGTGTTTATATACTTAAAACTTTTTAAAAAATATTTTTTTTGTATTTTCGGTGGAGGTTCACACAGCCTACTCAACAGTTTCTACACAAGTTGTTCAGTGACATTAGTTACATTCTTGATAGTGTGTGAATTTTCTCATGGTTTCCCCTCTGGTTGTTCTGTTTCCCTTCATCTAGTCTCCCTGCTCCTTTACCCTCTCACCTTTGTTTTAAAATCATTGTTGACCATTTGGTTTCATAAAGTTTTGGTTTTTTTTTTTTTCTTTGGTTTTTTTTTAAAGGAGCATCATACTTACAGGTGATCAATTCTTTATTTTCTTAGACAATTTGTTATTTAGCTATAAGGTTACCTCAAGGTAGTTTCGGTTCAAAATTTGAAGACCATTTCAGGGAGCCCTCCAGTGTCATCCAGCCCAGAATTGAACCTTTCCTCTTGGTGTGCTGACTAAAGAAAGAACATTTTGTCTGTTTGCCTGGTGGTTGGAATCTTTTTTAGATGTGTGCGATCTCAGCGAGTAACAAGTGTGAGAAGTATTTGTACCAGTTTCCTGGTTGATCTCTAAGATGTAGGCAGCTGGACTTTTGGGGAGAGGTTCTCAGGGTTAAAAATGAGAAAGCAATTGTTTCCAAAGCAGTCTATCTATTAATCTTGTTCCCTTCTATGTGTTATGGAAGGTTCTAGATGATGGGCTAGAACAGTGAATGAAACGTCTCCACCTTAATGGAAGAATCTACTGGGAAGATGGGCAGGGAGTACAGGGAGCCCCTGACTTAGGACGCATTTGAGTTACCCCGAATCGCACTTAACGACTGCCCATCTTATTTGTTAAAGTGGTGTATGTTTTTTTTTTTTTTTTAAAGTATATATGTATATATTGGGAGCCCTGGTTAAAGTACTTAGCTGCTAACCACAGGTCAGCAGCTTGAACCCACCAACCATTCCCCAAGAGAAAGATAGGACAGTCTGCTTCATAAAGATTTATAGTCTTGGAAACCCTGTATCCAGCAGTGTGGCTATGAGTCGGAATCCAGTGCGTTTGGTTGGTATATATATGTTACTTTTGATCTGTAAGCTTATATACAATGTTTCCAACTCCCAAAGAAAAAGATCAGATTTATAAAGATACTGATAATAAAAGACAATAATAATGAAAACTAAATACCCCCCCCCCAAAAAAAAGAGGTATTTGATTTATGTCAGAACTGACTTACGATGGAGCCATCAGAATGGAAGCCTGTTGTGTGTCGGAGATTAGCTGCAGATAGATACAACATCTTTTGATTATGAAGAATAAAGAAACGGAGTAAGGGAAGGGTGGAGATTATTGTTGCCGATTGCAGCTGGGGTGGTGGGCCAGGGAAGCCCATGGAGCTGAGGGTCCTACAGAAGGTGAGGGAGCAAGTCACTAAAACGAAAACATCTGGGAGAAAGGGGTTCCAGACAGAAGGAGTAGCGGGTGCAGAGGTCCTGAGGTGTGAGCAGGTGTAGGGAAATTTGTACCTGGAGAAATGGAGGAGTGTGATAGGAAATGAGGTCGGGCAGGAACCTTGGGGCTCAAGGACTTTAGAAAGGGCCACAGTCATCCTATGTTTTGCATTTTGGGGCTCCATCAAATTTGGATCTTTTTATCTGTACTTGTCATTGTCATACTTGCCTCTCATCTATCACTCTAACCCTTTCTCATCAGTGACCCTATGTTTGATCCTGTCTCCTCTGATCCTCATTTTCTGACCTTGGCCTGTGTCTCTCTCCCTCATCTCTTCCTATCCCCTGTTCCCTTTGTCCTTCCAGCCCCCAGCTCATCCACTTTCTCTCCTTCCAGGTTCAAGGATGGTCCAGCTCCTGCCCTGGAATCATCCTCCCGATCTGGTGAGTGGTTGGCCTTGGATCTGGCTAGGGCAGGGAGGTGGTTTTGGCCAATGCCGCCCCAGACCACCCCTGGGTTCTGTTGCAGATGACCAACCCTGGGCCCGGCCTCCCAAACCCCCTACTTTTGGGGAGTTCCTGAGTCAGCACAAAGCTGAAGTCAACAGCCGCAGAAGAAGGAAAAGCAGCCGGCCTCAGGCCAAGGCGGTCCCCCGTGCCTACAGGTGCCCCCCCATCCCCATCCCAGCGTATCCACACCTCCCTCGGAGCTGTGCTCTGTCCTCTGCCTTTAGCTTCCGGACTAAGTATGTCTTTGTGGGTCTAATGACCTTAAGGATCTTGGGTGGTGGAAATGGTATGCACTTAATTGTTCAGACCCACTTGGCAGTACCTCGTTAGAAAGGACAGGCCTTCTGCTTCAGTGAAATTTACAGCCAGGTAAACCTATGTAGCAGTTCTACTCTGTATTATGTGGGGTCACCAAGAGTCAGAATTGACTTAGTGGTAGTAGGTTTGGTTCTTTTGGTGTTGGTTTGAGTACAGCTGTCTGTCTGTTTCTGTCCTTGTCTGTCAGTCTTGGACCTGTCTCTTGGTTTGGCCCTTGGTTTTTGGGGGTCTGGGTCCCTACTTAACCTTTTCTGTTCCTTCTACTGTGTGGCCCCGTTCTATCTATCAGCTTTCCCATCGCCCCTCACTAGCAGCTGCCTGGGCCCACATGCTGAATTCCCCCCCAGCTGATTTCTACACCTGGGTCTCCCCCCCTCCCCCACTCTCTCCAGTGACCACGATGACCGATGGGAGACAAAGGAGGTAGCATCCCCAGCCCCTGAGCTCCCCCAGCCCACTCCCCCTGAGGAACCACAAACACAGGTAGGGCTGGGCCATCTTCTCGGGGTGGGGTGGGGTATGTGTGGGTGCCCAGGGCCCAGCACCCTTCCCCTGACCTTCCTTGTGTCCCCTGCAGCCACCCAAGGCCCTGGCCCCTGCCCACCAGCCTCCTGAGGACGAGGGGGAGGAGGACGAAGGGGAGGAGGACGAGGGGGAGGAGGACGAAGAGGAGTGGGAGGACATCAGTGGGGAGAGTGAGGAGGAGGAGGAAGAAGAGGATGCTGAGGAGGAAGAAGAACCTTCCCTAGAACATCCCCAAGAGCCTGAACCTGCTGGGCACGCTGCCAGTGAACCAGCCGACCCAGCCCCTCCCAGGCCCCAGGAGCCCCCAGCACTTAGTCAGGCCCCCACCTCGCCGAGCAGCCCTTTCTTGCCACCTGGGGGCCACCAAGCTGTGTCTGACTGGGGTGAAGAAATGGAGTTGAATTCCCCCCGGACCATCCCCTCAGCAGGCACCCTCTCTCCTGGTGAGGCTTGGCCTTTTGTAGATGCATGAAACTGGCTGCCTGTGGGGGGGCTCCAGGGGACCCTGGCCCAACCCCCCCAGCTGCTCCTGCTACCTGAAGCATTTCATTGCCCCTTTGTGTATTGCCCCCCCCAAGCTCCTGCCCCAGGGCATTTCCAATAAAGAATTCACACCCACTAGTGACAGTCCCCTCTGTCTCCACGAGCCACTCACTCCCTCAGAGCCCGGTTGTGGGGGGCGTGCAGTGAGGGAAGGGGGCTGACTGGGTCCTCCCTTCCCCAGGAGGTGACCAGCCGGCTCCCACCTCCCGGGAGAGTGGGCCCAGCCTACCCGGAAGCCAAAAAGCTGAAGAGGAAGAGGGGTCTGAGGCAGCTTCAGGTGGGGGACCTGCGAGTGCATCTTTCTCTTTCCTCTGGAGCTGAGGAGTAGGAGTGGGGTGGGGGAAAGAGGCTGTTTACTGTGGGAATGTAGTTAGCAGAGGGCCAATGAGTTCAGGGATGCTGTAAGGCCAAGGAATAGAGTTGGCCCCAAGGGGGTGGAGCCTTTGAGAGCCAATGGGAGTTGAGTAGGTGGGTGGAACCGGTGGTGGGGAGGAGCAAGGAAGGGATATCGATTTTGAAGTTGGCGCTGGGGAACGGAAGTTGGGGTTGCGGTAGGGTTGGAAAGCCCGAAAGTTCTGTTTAGTAGGACTCCTGGTGTAGCGCTGTAGGATCAGCTCTGGACTGTGAACTGCACGGTTGGCAGGTCAAACCCCTCAGTTGCTCCTCAGAAGCCATATACAGGGTCGCTATGAGTCAGAACCACCGCACCTACTCGTCAGCACTTAACAAAGATTCAGTGGTGGCGGGCCTCGGTTCATTCTTTGAGTCCCTGTGTGGTGCTATAGGATAAGCAATCGACTGCAATTTTAACCCGCAAGGTCGGTGGTTCAAATCCACTGGCCGCTTCTCAGAAACCCTATACAGGTTTGCTGTGAGTCAGAACTGACTCCACAGCGTTTAACCACCAAGGCTGGATTAGAAAATTAGAATTGGGCTGCTTAGAGGTTGAAAAATAGAATCGGTTGGGGCAGATTCAGTGGTTTAGCAGTGAGAGGGATCAGAGTATGGGGATGCAAGCAAATTAGGATAGAAAATGCGGATCCAATAGAATTTTTGGGCAGAGCCCTAATTAGGCCCAATGGAGTGGGTACTAAGGGACTGCCTTTTTTCCTCACGTGTGGAATTAGTTTTGGGGAGCACAGTCTGTCCACTAGGGTTAGCTTCATGGAGGTTGGTTTAGGCTGGGAGAGGGTGGTGCGATTGTAGTCTGAGAGACACTCACTCCCTCAGAGTGTTGTTGTGGGGTGTGGGTGAGTGGGGTGCAGTGAGAGAAGGAGGTTTGAGTGGGCCCTCCCTTCCCCAGGAGGTGACCAGCCAGCCCCTGCCTCCCCGGAGAGTGGGCCCAGCCTACCCGGAAACCAGAAAGCTGAAGAGGAAGAGGGGTCTGAGGCACCTTCAGGTGGGGAACGCGGTTATGTGTCTTTGTGTCTTCCTCTTTCCTCTGGGGCTGAGGGGTAGGAGTGGGGTGGGAGATGCCTTCTCGCTTGTAAACAGAAGTATGTTACGGATGGATGCTGCTTCGTTGGTCCCCTGAGCAGATTAGAGTTAGGCATGTAAGCTGTTGTAATAATCGAATTGGGGTGAAGGATGCAGCTGGGCGGGGGAGGGGTTCCGGTTCCAGGTGGAAGGCATGCGCTTGGATGGGGAGAACTCTCTTTGCTGACCGCCCCTTCTTTCCACAGAGGCATGCCCTGAGCCCCAAGAGATGGCGGAAATCACCGACTTCCAGAGGGTGCGTTTCTGCAAGGTGGTGGCGGCAGCCTCACCCCCGGGGGCTGCCCGCTGACTGCGTTGTCATCTGCACCTCTGCTCTGCACTAACTTCCAGCTGCCACTCACCTCTGCCTCTGCTTGTGCCGCACTCTTGCCTGGAGAGGGTTAAATGTCAGGGGGGAGGAGTCACGGGGGCCGGGAATGGGTTGGGGCCTGGTCAGTGGTCCACCCTCAGGCCCCTACAACTGGGGATATCGCTGTCCCCAGGGTATGTATGCTGAGATACCACTGAGTCAGAATCGCTGAAGTGAATCACGTGTGGATGTGGTGAGAGACTCTTAAGGGACAGCTATGAAGCCGAATTTCCACCTCAGAGGCTAATGCCTGGAGCCTGTTAGTGGGTGACATTTCCAAGGACTTGAATTAAATGCAGTGCTTCCGCTAACCTTTGAACTGTGTCCCTGTGGGGCAGGTTGCTGTGCTGGCAAGCTTTTCTGTGGCCAGGGAGGAACTTTTCTGTGGCCAGGGAGGAAGACGTGTTTTCATCTGCTGATGTGCCTACCCTCCCTCCTTCCCACAGGCTGCTGTGAATGTCTGAAGATGCTGCTGGGAAGCATCCCCACCTTGATGAGGGAGGGGGTTTATCTGGATCTTCAGGAGTGCACCCCTCCCAAAGCCTACCCTGGATCCCTGACTCCAGGGAGAGGGAAGCTTTGAGGGTGGTGGGAGGAGCTGGGGAGGTTGTGATATGGGTTGGAGTTTGGACCTCCCGGTGTGATGTTGGTAGGTGAAGGTAGTGGCAGGGTTCTGGGAAGTCGTGGTTTGGGTGCCTGGTTGATGTTGGGTGCTTTGCAGTTGTTTCAGACTTAGCATGAACTCATAGCAATCTCATGCACAGCTGACAAGTCACTGCCCAGTCCTGTTGTCATGTTTGAGCCCATGGTTGCGGCCAGTGTCAGTCCATCTCCTTGAGGGTCTTCCACTTTTTCGCTGACTCTCACTCGGTGTTACCAAGCATGATGTCTTCCTCCAGGGACTGGCAACTCCATCTTCAGTTATGAGGAGCATTCTGACTGTACTTCCTCCAAGACAAAATTGTTGGTTCTTTCTGGAAATTCATTTTATATTCTTTGCCAACGACATAATCCAAAGACATGAATTCTTCAGACATCCTTATCCAGCATGCATATGTTGTTAGGTGGTATCAAGTCAGTTCCGACTCATAGCCACCCTCTATAGGGTTTCTGAGTAGCAGCTGGTGGGTTTGAACCACCAACCTTGTTAGCAGTCCAGTGCTCCCCTACAGTGGCACAGCAGAACTCCAGCACGCATATGAGGTGATTGGAAATATCTTGGGTTAGGCACACCTTAGTCCTCAAAGTGACTTCTTTGCTTTTCACACTTAAAAGAGAACTTTTACATCAGATTTGCTCAGTGCAATATATCATTTGATTTCTTAACTGCTGCTTCTATGGTGGTTGACTGTGGATCCAAGTAAAATAAATTCCTGACAACTTCCGTCTTTTCTTGGTTTATCATGATGTTGCTTATTGGTCCAGTTGTGAGGATTTTTGTTTTCTTAATGTTGAGGTGTAATCCATACTGAAGGTTGTCTCTGATCTTCATCAGTAAGTACTTCAAGTCCTCTTCCCTTTCAGCAAGCAAGGTTTTGTCATCTGTGTATTACAGGTTGTTAATGAGTCTTCCTCTAATCCTGATGCCACGTTCTTCTTCATATAATCCAGCTTCTCAGGTTATCTGTTCAGTATACAGACTGAATGTTGCTGTTAAATGCTGTCAAGTTGATTCCAACTCAATGATCACCTATGTAGGATTTTCAGGGAGCAGCTGGTAGGTTTGTACGGTTGTTGACTTTGTGGTTTGCAGTCCAGTGCTGAATTTATGGTGTCACACCAGAACCCCACTGATTGAATAAGTATGGTGGAGGAATACAACGCTGGAGCACACCTTTTCTGATTTTAAATCATGTTCTGTTCAAGTGATTAGCTCATCATCTGTGGATTCTCCTCGTCTGTGCACACGAGCACAATGAAGTGGTTTGGAACTCCCATGCTTCACAATGCTATCCATAATTTGTTATGATCCACACAATCAAATGCCTTTGAATAGTCAATAAAATACAGTTAAACATCTTTTCTGATATTCTCTGCATTCAGTCAAGATGCATCTGGCGGCATCAATGATGTTCATCTTTCCATGTCTTCTGAATCCAGCTTGAATCTTAGTAGTTCCCTGTCAACGTACTGCTTGCAACTGCTTTTGAGGTATCTTCAGCAAAATTTTATACTAATATTTTTGATATTAATGAGATTAATATAGTAATGGTATTGTTATTAATTACATTGTTTGATAATATATGTATTTGTTGGGTCACCTTCCTTTGGAATGAGCTAAAATTTAGGTCTTTTCCAATTGGTTGGTGTTGTAAATTTCTTGACAAAAATGAGTAGCTGCTTCTAACATCTCATCTGTTTGTTGAAACATCTCTATGATAGTCCATCAGTTTCTGGAGTCTTGTTTTTTGCCAGTGCCTTCAGTGCAGCTTGGACTTCCTTAGCACAATCAGTTCTTGATCATACGCTACCTCCTCAAAATGGCTGATCCAGTTCTTTTTGGTACAGTAACTCTGTTTTCCTTCCATCTTTTCCTTGGTGCTTCCTGCATTGTGCCATATTTTGCCCGTGTTGTTTTCAAGTGCTGTCGAGTTGGTTCTAACTCATAGCCACCCTGTATAGGATTTTTAAGGAGTGGCTGGTGAGTTTGAACCACCAACCTTGCTGTTCAAACTGACCTTGAGGTTAAGTGGCTATCCTATGGTGCCGCACCAGGATTCCATTTTACCCATAGAATCCTTTAATATGGCAACTCAAGGCTTGGAGTTTTTTCTTCAGTTCTTTGATCTTGAGAAATGCTAAGCGTGGTCTTCCCTTTTGTGTTTCTAACTCCAGGTCTTTGCACATTTCATTATAATACTTTATTTCATCCCTTCAAGCTACCCTTTGAAATCTGTTCAACTCTTTTACTTCATTTCTTCTATTTGCTGTAGCTCCTTTACAAAGTTCAAATTACAGAGTTTCTTCTGACATCCATTTTGGTCTCTTTCCTGCCTTTTCAGTGACCTTTTGCTTTCTTATATGAGGTCCTTGATGTTATCCCACATCTCATCTAGTCTTCCATCCTTAGTGTTCAGTTGGGTCAGATTTCTGGAAGGCAGTGTTAGAATGTGGGGCGAGGCTAAGATGTAGGGGTGAAGTCAGCCCTTTAGGAGTGGGTTTAGGTGAGGCTTCTTAACAGGTGGAACCACAGTCAGAGGGTGAGGTCAGAATGCTGGGCTGGTACCTGTTGAGTGTGGTGGATAAATGGGGTGCATCTGGGAGTAGAGTGGGCATTGAGCGATGGTTTAAAGAGAAATTGGTACTGGGGCAGGGCAGCATCTAAGGAGGGGGTAGACTGAGCTCCAAAGGAATTCTGAGACTGGGAGGAGGCGGGGCTAAGTGCCTGGATGAAATTGTGTCAGGAAACGGGGTGAGACCATAAAAATGGGTACAGAGCTAAACTGCACTGGGACTGTTAGTGAAGAGACCCGGGTGTAATAGGATGAGCTTTAGTGACACAGTCAAAGTGCTTGGTTGCTGTCAAAATCACCAATCATTCTCTGGGAGAGTTTGTCAAAGATTAACAGCCTTGGAAACCCTGAGGGGCAAATTACTCTGACCTCTTGTATCGTATGAGTCAATCGACACATCAAGTGTATCTGTGTAACACAGGTGGTCCTTGTGACTCAGTGGTTAATTGTTTGGCTACTAACTGAAAAGTTAGTGGTTCAAACCCACCTGCCGCTTTGTGGGGGAAAGATGTGTGTCCGTCTGCTTCGTAAAGATGACAGCCTTGAAAAGTATGGGTCTATTTTTGCTAAGTGCTATCAAGTCGATTCTGACCCATAGTGACCCTGTATAGGATTTCCAAGGAGCACCTGGTGAGCTTGAACCGCTTACTTTGCAGTTCAAACAGCTTTGCAGTCTGGTGCATTAACCCAAAGCGCCACACCTGCTTATAGGGTCCCTGACTTAGGATCAAGTCCGTGACACTAGGTTTGGTTTTGTGGGGGGGAGGGGTTGAGATACTGGGCGGGACCAGTTTAAAAGGGGCGTGGTCAGGGAGCTGTGGTTGGACAGAGGGCGGGGGAGGCCCACCCACGCGGAGGCGTGCCCATTGCTAGCGTGGGTGGGGTTGGGGGAGCTTTAGAACACTGGGGTGGCCCGAGGGGGCCGGGCCTGGCGGGTGGCTGCACCGGCCGAGCGGGCTGTGGGGATGCGGGGCACGAGCTGTGTGGGTGGTGGTGGCGAGAGCCCCGGCAGCGCGGGTCTGAGTGAGGGCCCGCGCGGCCGCTGGCTGCGCCTGGCCCCAGTCTGCGCCTACTTCCTCTGCGTGTCGCTGGCAGCCGTGCTGCTCGCAGTCTACTACGGCCTCATCTGGGTGCCCACGCGGCCCCCCGCAGCGCCTGCCGGCCCGCCGCCCACCGCACCCACCCCGTGCGCCGTGGGCCGCTCTGGTGAGCCACCTGCTCCGCTGCCTGCCTCTGCCTGCGCCTTGGGAGCCCCTGGAGGACCTCGACCCCAGCTTGAGCCGCCACCGAGCAGCCGCCGTCGCCGTCGCCACAGTGACCCAGCCTTCGCCCCAGCCGCCAGACGTGTGGGAGACGCTGGAGGCCATGGGGGCAGGACCGGGTAACCCTCCGCTCCATCTCGGGTTGGACACTGACCGTGGAGATGCAATCTCCTTGGATGGGCCCTGACTCTCCCCCAATGGCATCGCCTAACGTTTCCTTCGTGGGGGATTGCCCTCCCGATGAATGGGGGTGGAGGAGGCCTCCCCGTGGGCCTGTCCATCTGGCATTTCTGTTTCTGCTCCTGTCCTTTTCCTTGACCCTCTCCTCATAGGATTCTGAGCACAGCACAGAGCCCGCCCCCTCCTCCTCCTCTCCCTTACTCTCCTTGTCCAGCTGCAATAAACTCCAGCCCCAGCTGCCTCTCACACTATGAGTGTGTCCTGCTGTCTGAAGAGACTCTCCCCCCAAGTTTGTGAGTGTTAAGTCCTTCCTTGGGGTCTGACCTTTGTCTCATGTTGGTTGAACCTTGCAGTCTTCTTCCCTTCTCTGGGGTGGGTCCGGGGATTCTCTTCTTCTTTGCTCCCACCTAGTGTTTTGGTTGGTGTGGGGAGAAGGGACTTATCTGCAGTAGGGCAGTTGAAGGTCAGACCGTGTGAAGGACTTCGCAATTGTGTGCGTGCTTGGGGTACAAAGTAAGGAAAGCCTTTCTGGAAGGAAGCAAAGGGCCTGACTCAGGAGGAGACGTGGGGTGATTTTGTATCAAGAAATGGAATTCTGGGAATTGTTTTTGTTCAAATGATCACAGACTTACCCAGGACACAGACTAAGCCAGTCAGATTGGTCAGGATGCTGTTGTTGTTGTGAGGCGCCATCTCCAGGGGATTCTGACTCACAGAGACCCCATGTGACAGAATCTAACTGCCCCATGGGCTTTTTTAGGCTGGCTGTGGGACAAGGATGAAGCAGTCGGCTTCAAGTCCAGAAACTGAACTCAGCGGGCCAGTTCTGTTCTCTGCTATAGGGTCGCCATCTGTTAGAATTGACTTAAAGGCATTAGGAGCAGATTGCCTGGTCTTTCTTCCATGGAACAACCGGTGGGTTCCAATTGTTAACCTTTCAGTTAGCAGTTGGACACTACTGAGGGCTCCTTCTCTGGATGCTATTTGGAGGGACAGATTCATCTCTTCCTGGGACCAGAGGGGTGAGGGTGAACAGGGAGAATGGTCCAACTGCTCTGTCCCCCTCAAAACCACAGAGGAAGTTATCAGGCCTGAGGCCTGTACTGCACTTGAAGTTGTGTACACAGCCCTTGGGCCTGCAGTGCTTCTGGGAAGCTCTGCTGTGGCTCCTGCTAAAGCTGAGACCTGGCTCTGGGCAGAGTCTGGGCCAGTCATGTGGGAAGCTGGTTTTCTGTCCTGAAACTGCAGGCTTTTAACAGGAGAGTGAAGCTGAGCCTCCTCCGTCAGACTCGAACATCCGTGACTTTGCTTACCTGCCCCTATTTTTTACTCTCTTCCAACGGCCTCTCTCTCCCTTACCCCAAGAGGGAGTAGATAGACTAAAAGATAGCACTCCTTTACAATTAACACAGGGTAATGGTGTCAGTGGTGGTGGTTAGCGCCATCGAGCCTGTTCCAGTTCATAACAACCCTGTATAGTGTTTCCAAGAAGTGCCTAGTGAGTTTGAACCATTGACTTTGTGGTCCAGTGCTAACCCTACAGTGCTACACCAAGCCAAACTGCCCGGGTTCAGATCTCAGTTCTTCCTCTCACTAGTTGTGTGACTGTGGGCGGGCTACCCAGCTTCTCTGAGCCTGGAAAATGAAGATGATACAGAATTGCTCTAACCTAGTGATGATGTAAAACCTTTACAACAGTGCTCTACGCGGCTCCATCCCTCAGAGCTATAAAAACCACAGTTTAGATCCTGAAGGCTAGATAAGTAAGTGTGTTTAGAGCCCTGGGTCCAGCAGTCGTGGAGTTAGAGGGATGGCTTTCTCTGTCTCCTCCAGCTTCCTTTTTTCAGTCCCATTTCTCCAGGATCTCTGTCTCTTTCTTGTCTCTGTGTCTCCCTCTCCACCATCACTTCTCTCTCCTAGTCTCTTTTTATGTCTGTCTCTCTGTCTCTCCCTGTGAATCTTTGTGTCCGTGTCTCTGCCTGCTGTCGCTCAGTCTATCACTTTTTGTGTCTCTGTGTTTCTCCCTGGTGGCTCATTTCTGTCTCTGAATCTTTGTTTCTCTGATATCTCTTGTCTTTCAATCTTTGTGCCTCTATGTGTCTTCTTGAAATCTCATTAATCCCTTTCTGTCTCTCCCTGATGTCTCTCTTGAGGGTCTCTCTGTCTCTCAATTTTTATTATCTCTGTAAAGATGTCACTTTGAGGACTATGGTGTGCCTGGCCCAAGCCATGGTACTGTAGTGGTTATGAATCGGGCTGCGAACTGCAAGGTCGCAGTTCAAAACTACCAGCTGTTCCATGGCAGAAAGATGAGGCTTTCTGCTCCCGTAAAGATTTACAGCCTCAGAAACCCTGTACAGGGTCACTATGAGTCGGAACTGACTCCCCGACACATAACCACCACCACTAATAAGCATGCAGAAGCTGGACAATGAATAAAACAGACCAAAGAAGAATTAGGAACCTTGGTGTGGCATTGTGGGATAAAGCGCTGGACCGCAAGGTCGATTGGAACCACGAGGTCCTTGGAAACTATATAGGGTCGCTATGAGTTGGAACCGACTTGACGGCACTTAACAACAACGACAACAATGAAGAAGAAGAATTGGTGCCTTTGAATTATAGTGTTAGTGAAGAATATTGTATGTACAATGAACTACCAGAAAGAATAGAAAAATCTGTCTTGAAAGAAGTACCATTAGAATGCTCCGGAGAAGCGAGGAGAGTGAGACTTGGTCTCAGGTCCTTTGGATATGTTAATCAGGAAGGACCAGTTCTTGGAGCAGGTTACCATGCTTGATAAAGTAGAGGGTCAAAGGAAACGAAGACCCTTAACAGAATGGAGTGACACAGTGGCTGTGACAAATGGGTTCAAACAGAAACAGTTGAGAGGATGACGCAGGACCGGCCCTGTTTCGTTCTCTCATGAACTGAAGCTGACTTTACAGTACCTGACAACACCAACTGTGCCTCTCCCTGATGTGTTTAGTACTGTCTCTGTCTCTCAGTCTCTCTCTCTCTCTAACTCACTCTGTTTTTGTCTCTGTTGCTTCCCCACCCCAGTGTTCCCTCTGTTTCTTCTCCCTCAACCCTCCCTTCAACATCTTCTCTTGTCTCCCTTTCTTTCATTCCTGAAACAGTCCTAAGGCATATGGATTCAACACCTCTCAGGTGCTTCCTGGAGCCACAGAGATTAGATGAACTCTTGAAGCTATTGTCCCGAGACCATCTTTAAACTTTCAGCCAAAAATACCCTAAAGTCTTCTTCAAACCAAGCAGTAGTTTAGCTTAATCAGTAAAGAATGTGTACCTTAATCAGTAAAGAACATTATGCTCTTTTTTTTTTTTTTTTAAGTTTTTATTGTGAACTGAGTAAAAGTTTACAGGGCAGATCATCAGTTTTACATTCAACAAATCATATACTTTGTTTCATTACAATGATTATAATCCCCTCCATGTACCATCAGGTAACAGTATTTCTACTCATTTTAACGCCTTTTTTTTTTTTTTTTTTAAACACTCAGGCATATATAATAATCTATATCACCAAAGGGCACATTCTGCAAGTCTGCCTCCCAGTCCTTGTCTCCATGAATCTAGAATCCTCAATCACCCTCCCTCTCCATGACCCCATCTCTGCCTCCATGTCTGGTGTCCCTGCTACTTCTCTGGAAAAGGTCCCACATTCTGCTTGTGCTCTTCTCCCTTGATGGTCCTAGGGTCCTCTGTTCCTGGACTGTAAGATTAACCATTCCCCTGGTTGGTTTTTCCACTCCTCTCTTTTTGTTACAAAACTTCTACCTTTACAACTGTGACAGTCACAATTAGTCATGACAATAATTATTCACTATCGAATCATAAGAATCTTATCTCCATCTCTTTTTACCCAGACCCATGTAGATACACAAGATGAAAACTATTCAGTGGGGACTCTATCTTTCCCCACACACTCTTAAACTAAACTCCCTCTTGAAACTCTGTAAGCCAATCACTTCATGCCTTTATTGCCCCCTCATTTTAGGTAGCCAAGAACACTGCTCTTTTAAAAGCCAAAAGTGACAATACTCGAAAACTTTAGGAGTTTTAGGGGATGGTGCATATGTTCATGAGGGAGGACCCAGCTCACAAGAAGGGTTGTATAACTTGAAGACTGTCATTCATGTCACTGGATTGATTGTACCTGAAGAAACTGTTGAATTGGGATATGCCCTGTGCGTACACTCTCAATAATAACAGAGAATTCAACCCAACCTCCCTAGCCCTCACCAACTTAACCCACATCCCAGCAGAACCTTCAAAAAATCAAACCCACTGCATTGAGTCAATTCCGGCCGATAACAATCCTACAGGTCAGAGTCCAACTGCCCCAGAGGGCTCCTCAAACTATCCATGTTGATAGGAGCAGACAGCCTCATCTTTCTCCTGTGGAGCAGCTAGCTGGTGGGTTTGATTTGCTGACCTTGTGGTTAGCAGCCCAACACTTAACCCACAACGCCACCAGGGCTCCTCTGGGGGAAGCTTGAGAAGATGAATTCTGGCCCATGTTGGGTTTTGTTCTTGTGTTATGTGCTGTCGAGTTGGTTCTGACTCATAGTGACCCTGAATAGAGTTTTCAAGAACGGCTGGTAAGTTTGAACTGCCAACTTTGTGGTTACCAGTCCAGTGCTTAGCCTACAGTGTGCCACACCAGGGCTCTCTTGGTATTCCAAAAAGTTCCAACTGTTTCCTGTGATCTTGTCTTTCTCCTCAGTCTTAGCTGGGAAAGGTGCTGAAGAGGTGAGCCCACGGTTGCTGGATACAGTCAGTGGCCCAGAGACATCGGTGACCCCTTGCCCCATAGACCACTTTGGTTCATCCCTGAGCTGGGGACACAGCACTGATGGCCCTGTCCTCATGGGCTCACAGTCCAATGGGAGAGATGGACGTGTCCCTGGACAGTGACA